AATTCCATCTTGATAATGTCTAGCCATGTAGGCATAAACAATACTGGCCTAGTTTCAGCTCTTGCTCTCGTTAGTTTTGAAACTAATATGGTTCTCATATACTTCCTACCATACGCTGTGATGGGCCTCAATGAAAGCGGGGCTTGGGTCAAAAGCGGGCCAAAACGGCCCGACCAGGGCCGCACCTCGAGACAGGCCGGCCCAATCCACCCCTAAACGGCCGGGCTAAAAGTAGGCATCTGGCCCGACCCAACCCGACTTTTTGGCGTGAAATTCGCCCCCATGGCACGTAGCAAACCCTTTAGCAGGCCCCCAACACACTCATTGCAAACCTTTCCACACCTCTCATATGCACCACCACAACCTCCCTCCTTCCACTCACCCATTTTCTCTACTTCTTTGTTGACATTGTGCACAGACCAGCTACATCTACAACAGTTGCCATACCATTTGGCATGCCAACTAGTTTTCTGACTTGGGCATGATAGAACTACTAGAACTGTGCCTGTCCTGCTCTCTCTGCCCCTCTATAAAACCCCTGATTCACCTTCGATAAAACATGGAAGATGTTCCTCAATCATGTTTAAAGATAAATTCTAACCTTAACAAAACTTTGAACATGACTTCAACATGGAATGATTCCAAAGGGTCCACAAAAGCAGACAGTGGGTTTGGATGAGAGGAGGACCATGGGATGAACGGTTCAAGTAGCAAGGGAGGGCAAGTGAAGAACAAAGAAACACACAAAGGCATCCAGCGAATCCATGGTCCGCAAGGGCTCAATCAGCGAACGCAAGTACATGGAGCTGCACCTGTTGCCATACCACTTGACATGCCAACTCGTGCTCTCACTTCTGCATGGTAGACCTACTAAAGCTGTGCATGTCCTGCTCTCTTCCTCGTCAGACTTCATCTTTAAAGTGATTTAAACATACAACTGTTGCAGCGTGGAAATTTATTCCAGATGCAACATCGAAAATGTTCACTTGCCCGATGATCCTTAATTCTTAATCCTGGTGAGTTAACATGGTACCATCCTAACATGCCTTCAAGAACTGATGGGCTAATCAAAGCAGACAGTCGGTTTGGAAGAGAGAGGGACAATGGCAAGAGCAGTTAAAGAAGAAAGGGAATGCAAGAGAAATACAAAGAAACACGTAGATTGCATGGTGAGCAAGGGTTAGGTCTCCAAAATGCAACAAGGGATTGCAGACGCAGTGCACGCAGAATGGTGGAGGGAGAGAAGATGTAGAGGCACTCAATTCAAGTCTAGCAAGAGTTGGTGCACACATGGGGGGTGCAAGACCAGCTACAGTTGGTGCTCTCACATTTCAGTCACCATGCCTTGTTCATCGCAGTCCACATTCTCGGCCAAGCTGCAGTCCCCCCCAGCCACCCACCCAGGGAAAATCGGCCCCCATGCTTGCTGCAAGTCCAACAGGACTTGCTCTGGCGGCAGATGGTGGGGGAGAGGGGTGTAGGTAGGGAAGAGAAGGACAGAAGGAGGGTGTGGGGCAGGGGACAGAGGAAGGAAAAATGTATGTCATCACCCGTGTGTCGCACCCTTCTCCTCCTCTCTCACTCATCAGCCTGTGCAGCTGACCACGGAATTGACACCTGCGGTGGTGAAGTACCAAGAAACCGTGACACGGAAATTGAAACTGCTGAGTGAAAAGCATCATGCAAATGGGACCATGGGCATGACGTGGTCTCTGATACATCCACTGGTAATGATAGTGCCATTGAAGATAGGAGGCATAAACGGGAGAGGGGGTCAAATAAGGGGTATGTATGGCTGGGGATGTGCATTCCCTGAGCTCCATTAGGCACTTGAGGAAGTGATTTACGTACGGCTGCTATGACTCATGGTGAAGATCCTAGGCACTCGAGCTGCAGCTCTTGCCATTGCTGCATCCAGCAATGGCAGCAAGCCATCAACACATAGAATTTTCCCCCCATGACTGCTGGAAGTCCAGCCAGCAGAAGTTGCACTGGCTGCAAAGCAGTAGGGGCCGCAATGGAGTAGGGGAAAAAAATCAAAGGGAGAGGGAGAAACGCCCTGCTTCTGAGGGGGTAAGAAGGAAAAAGAGATGAATCCCTCCCTCTCTCAAACCCTGCACTGGACATTCGAGCAGACAACTTGAAGTGTGATGGGCAAGCACGCGTAAATTGAGAGGGATTAGGGAATATCGGGGAGATTTCTATCATATTGCGAAACGGCTTGCATGCTGCTGCATTCTCAAGGTGAAGTTGTCCGCTCAAGCTGCTAAGGATCATGCGTTGGATGAGAATCACGAATTTGAAGAATCATGGATCGTGCCAAATGGCACATCCGGTGTGCCCCTTGGCTTTGATAATCCGCTGCCATGCCACGATTGGTGCCACTGAGACTATCTTGTGCATGAGGTTTTGATAACTGGAGCGGCATGAGCTTGAACAACGAGACACGGGAAACATATCAGGGCACAAAGAAGGGGGGCATAGCAGCTGCTGCAGTTTTCTCCTGCTACTCTCTTCAGAGGAAAATTGGTGACAAACCCCTACGAGTGCTGGACAAGTTTGAGGCTGAAACCTGAGCAGATTGAAACTGCTCTACACCCATACCTAAGCAAAGATAGAGGTTGAATGCACTCTACACACATTTCGACAGGCAAGAAGGCCATGGACAAGGCAAGGAAGGCAAGGTGTCGGCAGGTTCCAGCCACATCTGAAATGTGCCAACTGTGTGAAGGAAGCCCCAGCGGGCAGGATAAACTCTTTAAGCACTTGATCTTAAACCTCCATAGAAAACTGCGAGGGCAAGGTAGTATCTGCTACCTAGGCCCTCTAGCTACGGTTACGACCGAAGGTGTCTTTGCGTTGTATGATGCACTTTCACCTACAAAAAACATAAATAAAAAGCTTGAACAGACTTTGTTGGTACGTTATTTCTGTTGGTGTTTCCACTGCTTCGCACTGCCCGTGACACGATCACAGCTGAGCTGAAATGCGCTCCGCGTCATCGTGGTGACACCTGAGTGTTCCTGCTGGAATGCTCCAACTAACGTCACCAAGACTACATAAGACATGAAAGCTATCAGGGCAATAAATACATGAGAGAGGGTGGGGGTCGAGGGCAGGGGGGGCGCCTCGGGGGACCAACTGAACGCCAACTTTAAGTTCGTCTAGTACTAGAACGAACCTTGGGAGGCTGCAAACGGGACACAGCGGATGGGAGAAACCACAGCGAGAAACGTCAGAAAGAAGAGTAAGCGGAGTCGAATGATGCGTCCCGCGCCTTCCGTTGCCATCGTGGTGCGGCAAGCTTCCACTAAACCCTGAATTAGTAGTAATTTTAATCGCTTGTGAATCTGTGCGTAATCAGTAGCAGTGGTTCTAAGCGTCAATAGAAACGCGTAAATACTTGTGGACGGTAAATAAAGAAACTACTGTATGATGAGAGCCTACTCGTAGAACCTGGAGTGCAGACGACATCAAGTTATGATGAGGAATCCATGAAAGTTAGCTTGAAATGAAGCTAGAGGAAAAGAGAGTGGCAGGAGGAGGTGAGGGTTGGGGATGAAAGTCCACTTTCTTGCCAAGATCGCTTTGCAATTTCCCATGTGCCTGCGACAGGCCAACATAGCTGACGAGCGTCAAATTCGCGAGTTGCGGCAAATGCGAAAATATCGTCAAGTTGCCCTGCTCTGGCGAATTCCAAGGCGATACGAGTTTCGGTGGTGGCGTTTTATGCCAACAGGGCGCGTCGAGCCACCGAAAATCTCGCCAGGTCTGCGAGTCAGAAAGATAGGACAGCGCTCCCTGTTTGACGAACACGACCTCTTCATTCGCTCGCGCAATAACGGAGCGAAACAAACAAAACCCACACGACTACTACAGCAAATGACGAATGATTCTTCCAGCATACCTTAAGCCTACAAACATGTTTGGAAAATCGAAATATGGTATAAACGACCCGCGCCTGGTGACATGGTGAGCTCGCCGCTCATTCCGCGACCTACCTTACCGCGACCTAGAACTGTAAAGTGGTCGCTAGGCTAGTGATAAGGTAGATTTGACATACAGTTGACGGTTCAACAGAATGGGCCTCTAATAGCCATGATTGCTTCATCTGTCCTTCTTCCGTAACTTCTCTGATGTAATTTCGAAGGATAGTCGAAACCGGAACGTCACTTTGCTGGATACCGTATGAGCTGACTTAGCAATAGCACTAGTAACACTGCTCACCGCAATCCCTAATGTTTTCCATGCGATGGCAAGTCGAGCGAGGGTCACGTGCGTCGCTAGCTGCTCCGTGAGCGCCGAGAAATTCCGAATGGCCTACCAGTTGTAGCGCCACGCGTATTGAGAGAGGCGGCGTCACGAGCATCGCAGGCATCGCAGCGAGTCGAATGGCGTCAATTGACGATCAACGGAACCGTCAGCTTGCCTTTGCTGAGAATTTTCGAGTCATAATCGTTTCGATGCTGCTTGGGGGGATTGTGTTCCCCCCTCTTTGCTCCTCTTCCCATGCATGTTCCCCCTGCTTCGCACCAACGTTTGCTGTTTCATTCTGTGCTTTGTTGTGCGTTCCATTTCTTATGTACCCTGCTCTCCTCCTCCCCCTCCCCTTCTCCCTGTTTCCCCTTTCTTTCCCCTCCAATCCACCTGCCTTCCCGCCTCCTCATTTCTTCTCCCCACTCCCTCCCCCCTCCTTCATGCGACCTGCCATCCTCTCACGGGCCACGACAACCTGCTGGAGAGGATGGCAGGATTGCAGGATGGCAGGGCGACAGGGCGGCAGCCATGCACCACTCGCGTTTGCAGTGGGTCCGCGCAGCCATGTCGATCAGAAAACCATGTCGTCGCCTTAGCAACTGACCAGACGGCCTTAGCGTTCTGTCAAGTGGCCGTCGGCATTGCCTTCCTCATCGTCACTTTCAGCACTGGTGGGAGAATTGACTTCTCCCGACCTCCTCCTCTCCCCTGCTCTTCAAGGAAGCGCGTTCTCCCGCGGTTAGATGACTGACGCCTTCCTCGAGGTGGGTGAGAGGGTTGGGGAGAGGTGGGCGCGGGAGAGGGGAGTTGTGGGTGCGGGGATAGGGCTGGGGGGTAGTTGGGAAGGGGCTGGGAGATGGTTAGTCGTGGAGGGGGGTGGGGGTGGGGATGGGGGAGGGGGGGGAGGGGGGGGGGGGTGAGGGGGCATGGAGAACGAAAGAGGGTGTTCCCGCGACGAGATCGGACGGCTTCCTCGAGGTGCGGGAAAGGGGCGGGGAAGGGGTGGGCGTGGGGGAGGGGAGATGTGGGGGCAGGGAGAGGGCTGGTGGCTGGGAGTGGGCTAGGAGAGGGGAGAGGGGGGGAACAAGAGGGGAGGGGGAGAGTAGGGAGAGGGGTGGAAGGCATGGACAAAGAAATCGGGTGCGTTCGCAACAAGATTGCAGACGCATTCCTCGAGGTGCGCCGCGGGAGAGGGGGGGAAGGAGGGGAGGGGGGGGGGGGGGGGGGGGGAGGTGGGAGTGTTGGGTTGGTTGGTGATGAAAGTGAGAGGGTTGTGCAGCGAGGAGAAATGAGTGACGACGGGGATTGCTAGCAGTCGTTTTTCGCTCGAGTCCCAACCCAACCCCTCTCACTTCTCCACTCTCCGCCACCCGTGCTACATTTATCGCTCAAGTGTGCACACATTGTGCGACATCCCCAAACCTTGGTCTCCCTGCCTGTTCCCCTCTGCGCCATTCCCACTCTTTCCGCCTTCCTGAAGGTGCACCGGGGAAGATGTGTGAGGACTTGTGCCAGCAGTAGCAGACAGCATGTTGCTGCGCAAGCTTGGTTTGGGTTGTCTCAAAGCAACCAGGCCTTTTCTCTCCCCTCTGTGCCTGACAACCTCCGTCACCCTGCCCCTCCGTGTTCCCGTCTCCACCCCCCACCCCCCCCCCCCCCCCCCCCCCCCCCCCACTGCAGGTGTGTGTGTGAGTGTGTGTGTGAGGGCTGTGTGCCAGCAGACTGCATGGTGTTGTGCAAGCTGGTGTCGAGTCGTCCCCTCCTCTCCCCCAACCCCCCCCCCCCCCCCCCCCCCCCCCCCTCTTCTGCCCCCTTTCACCCCCGCCAAGTGTGTGAGGAGGACCATATACCAGCAGTAGCAGATCGCATGGTGCTGCGCAAGCTGGTTCCAAGTTGACCCCTCCTCCCACCTCTTCCCCCTTTCTCCCCCCGCCAGGTGTGTGAGGACGTGTACCAGCAGACCGCATCATGGTGCTGCGTAAGCTCGCGCAGGACATGCGCGAGTGGATACACCGGCGGGTGAGCCATGGGATAAGGGGTGATTGTTATGGGATGGTGCCGGTAAGCAATGGGGGGGCCCGCGAGGAGGGGAGAAGGGGGATTAGAAAAGACGGAGGGATAGAGGGTGCTGGCACAGGACATGCGCGAGTGGCCGGCCTGCGGGTGGGCGAGAGGGGCAGAGAAGGGGGGGAGGGAATACGGGGGATATGGAAGGGTTAAGAGGCGATGGGGGGAAGAAGATGGCAAGGGTTCAGGAACGTGAGGTCTATGAAGCAGGATGTAGGGGCTCTCTCCTCTGCTCTTTGTCACCCCATTCTTCCCCTAACCCTCCCCCCCTCCCCCTGCACGCCTCTTTCCAACGCGTCTTCCCCACTCCTCTCGCCCACACCACTCCACCACACCTACTCCCCACTCCCTCTCTCCTACCCCTCTCCCCCACGCCTTTCCCCCACGCATTTTCCTCACCCCCCTCTCCCCCCCCCACCCCTTTCCCCCACGCATTTTGCTCACCCCATTCCCCCACCCACCCCCTTCCCCCACGCATTTTTCTCACCCCTCTCCCCCACCTCTTTCCCCCGTGCATTTTCCTCACCCCCCTCTCCCCCCCCATCCCTTTCCCCCTCGCATTTTGCTCACCCCTTTCCCCCACCCACCCCTTTCCCCCACGCAATTTCCTCGCCCCTCTCCCCGTTCAAGAGGATGCTGATTTAAGAGTGAAGGTTGGAGAGTGCAGGAGGGTCTTGCTGCTGTAGTACAAAAGCCTGCCAGAAGTCTTGGGTTCCTATTGGGCTGCCAAGCACTTTGACGCCTCCATCGCCTAGAGGCGGGAGGCTGGTGATGTTGGCAGCCCCTCCGGCCGAGACCCAGTGGGTCACTTTGGCGGACACTTTTGGAGCTGAGAAGGGTGTGTGCAGGGTTCTGGCGCAGGAGCAAGTGGGGAGGGCTGCCTGTACGTGTTGATGATGTACGGTGAGGAACCTTGGAGAGCTGAGTTCCGTTGGGGTCTCCAATATGCCATGCGCCCAACGGAGTCTACAGGTTACCTGCAGCTGCTCGTCTCTGTTGCTGGTCTGTGTGTGCCCGTCGCACCCAGCTCGCCAAGAAGACCTCTTTCTCTCAGAGCTTGAGGAAGGGCCCACATGGTTCGGGCTCACACCATGATCACATCAGATAACCACCTCAGTATCCCATGATCTCATCACCCCAAGATCGCATCTACCCCATGGCAGAGCACCGTGGCAGGGTGCACTAGGTGTGCTGAGTGCAGCCGTCACTATCCCTTCCCCTTACACTTTCCCATTTCCACCCCTTTCTCCCTTTCCCTCCTGTAGCCCCTCCGATTCTCCATCCCGATTGCCATCCGCACCTCTCCAGGTGAACACAGTGCAGCAAGCAGCGTCCATCACACTGCTCCAATCCGCCTATCCTGCATCACCTCATTGCTCTCTCTTGCTCCCTCTCACCACCCTTCTCCCCTATCACCCACCAGTGTGCATAGTCCTGTCAGTAGCATCCACCCCCTGCCATCTCTACACCCACACATTGATCAGCAAGCCCTCATCTCTACACTGAGGTGAGTAGTGCGTTGTATCGAACCTGCTTCTACCGAAACGGGTCTCTCCTCTAATTTGTGATCTGGCTTGCTGCCACTGCCATTGGCAACTCATCATCTCTCGTGTCCACCCATCAATTTGGAGGAGTCAGTCTCATGATCTTATTGCTTCATCACACGTTCACCCCATCCACACAGCACCATCCCCATTACCCCATCAACCAATCAGACCATCACCTCTTCACCCAACCAGCTCTTTGCCTCATCATCCCATCACCCCATCACCCCATCCCATGATTGGTGGGGCGCATGGTGCAGGCCAGTGGTACGGGTTGGTAGTTTGCCGTCCACAAAAGCGAGGAGCTGCCCTTGATCTCCCCTACCTTTCCATTTTCCCTTCAATCCCAACAGTCCCTATTTTGCAGGCGCAGAGCCAACATCGCCAGCGTTAGAGCAGTGAGCTGTCTCAACAGTGGACTGGCTCATTCCAATTGGGCGCCTTTCCACCAGGCACTGAGCTCTGCTAGTTCTCAGCCTTCATCCTCCCTGCCTGCCCTGCCTTCCCTTCCTTCCCTTACCACCCTCGACTACCATTACCAACCCCTACTCTGCAGGCAGTACCCGGCAGGTGCAAGGCCAAGATCCCCACTCGCATCACCGTCGCCTTCATTGAAACCTTGGGGACCTCTGGCACTTGGCTTTGCCTCGTCCCAGCCTTCGCCATCCTCGCCCTCGCAATAGAGAGCAGCTCATTGCTCAACGATGTTGATTTCTGATTTCCGCGATTTGTCATTGCGTGGATGCTGCTGAATGGAAGTCTGCTGCTGCTGCTCTCCAAGGGTGGCGGCATGATCTTGTCCTTCCTTGCCCATTGATCCCCATTTTGAGAGTGTCAAGTCGTTCTACTTCTAAACAGCAGCTGGCTAGTTATGTTGCCCAGGAGTGACGGCATGTTCCTGTTATTATTACCCACGGATCCCTCCGACATTCGACCATCTGGCATCAATGCAAGAACTTCTCTTTGGTGTACCGATGCAGGGAGGGGAAACAGATGAAGGTGAAATGGAACACAACTAGAGGGGATGGATCCTCGCCTGACTGCCTCCCACCGATGCCACCACCAACCCCTCCAGCAACCGAGGGGAAAGGGTGGACTCGTTTGCAGCGGACCTGGCAATATGCATTTGGTCAATCTGAAAAGCACTTAATATAATTGGTTGTTTCATTCAAACTACGGTAGCCCAATTTTGCATATTTGGCAAGTAAGCAGTGCAGATATAACTTGGGACAAACAGAGAAAAAAGGGTATCACTTTTTGAACTTAAAAAGGTCCTCTTTAGACCAGGGGGACCCACTTTCCGGTTATATCCAGAAAAACAGCCGCATCTTGTCTAGGTTGCGGAACCTGCCATTCTGATTTGATCAACGGAACTCATGCTGGTGGATAGCAGCACATGTGAGGATCAGCTGGAGTCTGGGGTGCCGCGGTGAGAGAGAGGATACGCGGGGGAGCGATGATACGCTAGGGGGGCGGACGAGTAGAGCGAGGCGGGGTGGTGCAGCAGCTAAAGTTGCTCGGAGGGCCTGCCCGGGTGGTGAGGGAGGAGCTCATCAGTGAGCTTTTGCACCTGATGGCCTTCAGACGACTTTTGAGTCGACTCAAAAGACAGCTAGAGTTGGTCCGAGGGCCTGCCCCCGGGTGGTGAGGGAGGAGCTCATCACTGAGCGCGTGCACCTGATGGCCTTCAGACTCACGTGCCTTGTTGCGCGACAGCCTGCCACACAGCACACACATGCACACGCATGCACACACACGCACGCGCGCACGAGCGCACACGCGCACACACAGACACACGCGCACGCACGCACGCACTCGTACACACACACACACAAACAACCCCCCCCCCCCCCCCACTCCCCCCTCCCCCTCCCCCTCCCCCTCTCCCCCCCCCCCCCACACCCACACCCACCCAGCATGCAGAAGGCGAGGACGCCCCCCACGGGCATGACGGCGAGGGTCCAGAGGGCGTGAGGCCACGTGTCAAAGTAGGGCAAGGAGGCGAGCGAGGACCACGGCTCGTGCAGCAGCGAGAAGATGCCACACACAAGCGCCATCACGGGCGCCAGATACTGCAGCAACGTGAGCAGCGGGTTGGTCAGGCCTGTTGGGGTAGAGGGAGGGCGGACTTGCGGTTGGTGGGAGGCAAGGGGAACTAGGAGGACTGGAAAGGAGATAGTGGCATGAGGATGGCGTGACCATAGCAAATATGCGAGGAAGGGTGAGAAACCGGAGGATTGTGGCGTGTGGGAGAGAAAGCAAAGCACACAGGCACTGTGGAGCTGGGGCTGCACCCGGAAATATGAGGTGAGTGAGGAGAAAGGGGCAACGCGACAGATGCTTACCAAGTGTGTCCCTCTGTCACCAGTAGAAGCGACGACAGCATGGTGAGATGGTGAGTAGATGTTGTGAGCGTAAAGGGTAAACAGGAGACGAAAAGAGTGGGTTAGTTGGTTGATGCAGCAGCACACATAGCAGCACAGCAGCAGCACAGCAGCACACAGTAGCACAGCAGCACACAGCAGCATACACAGCAGCAGTGAGCAGCAGCTTACCTGGAGGAGCACTTGCAGCAGCACCCATCGGAGACCCGCCATGAATGAGGCCAGCATGACGAGGATGAAGCCCAGCAGCTCAAACTCCGTCTCCCCCGCCACTGGGAGCACCACACGCCACTCGAGGGCACACCACACGGAATGTCAAAAGCGCGAATTAAGTCAAAGAACTCTGCTCGACGCCCATGTATAAATCAGGCGTTGCGTTGCAATGCTGATTGGGGGGTGGAGCGCACGGAAATGGTAGTGATACAAGAGGAAAACTGAGGCACGGTAGAAAAAAATGTTGGATGGTCATCGAATTACCCTCCCAGCCCCCTCCCCCTTCCGTTCTCCCTTCCGTTCCCCCTCGCCCCCCCCTCCCCACCCTATGCCGAGCACGCCGACGGAGATGATGAGCCTGGTGCCCACCCATGCTTCTACTCTATGCATCGCAACGTGCTGTGTGTGTGGAGCGCACCCAAGTTTGAGTGCCACACTGGACCTTTTCTGCAACGGATAAGATATCACAAACACTTTTGAGTACACCCACGCTTGAGCAAACCCCCGTAAGCGGATCATTTTGACCAAGGAGACTGCAGTGAATGAAGCGGATAAGATATCGCACAGTGACGACGAGGGAGAATAAGGGCAGGACAGCGTACCATGGAGTAGAAGGTGCGGGTGACGAGCGCGAGGGAGAAGCTGGAGAGGGCAATGTCAAGCGATGTGGCCACTGCCGTGGGCACCACTGCATGCACGGGGCAGAGCACACAGGGCACAGGCCAACACACGTTTAAACAAGTAAGCATCCATTAGAAAGCCGCCTGAACCGAACCAGCCTCAATGGACAAATTGCAGAACGTGCATGCACGAGTTCCTGAGCGCGCCCATCCCCATTCTCAATCCCCCCCTCCCACCCACACGGCGATCCTCGCACGAAGTAGTCACGCCAGGAGATGGGGGAGGCGGGCAGCCACGAGTGGCAGCAGAGGTGACTTTTGAGGCGACTCAAAAGTCAGTCGACTAGAAACACTTTCGAGTCAACTCATCAAGTTACCTCACACAAAGTAGTCGCGCCAGGAGATGGCAGTCACGAGTGGAAGCAGCAGTGAGGCGATGGCACCCTGCACGAGGAAGTGCACGGTGGTCATGAGCAGTGGCGCTGGTAAGCGCCGGTGCTTCGCACCGATCAGCACCTTGTTGTACCTGCCTACCCACCCACGGCCACCACCGCCCCGCCACCTACCCACCCACCCACCCATCCATCCACCACCGCCCCGCCCGTGCGTACATGCATGGCGATGCGATAGTGCAATGCATAGCGGGAGTGCACAGGTACAGCAGGGGGCGATAAAGGGTTGGTTGCAAGGGGAGATACGAACGGGCGAAAGGGCCCTTTAGATGGATGGCCAGCCCAGTGAGAAATTTGATCACGCACTGGGGGAGTGGCAACTACAGGGAGGGTGGCTACACAGGAAAAGCGACATGCTTACAGGGAGCGCGGCATGCTACAGCGCCATGCTTAGAGCAGCATGCTTACAGGGAGAGCGCCGTGCTGAAGGTGTGCCAGAGCAGCACGAGCAGCACCACCTTACCCGCCGACCACATCTACGGCGCGCACCATGGCGACACGCGCAACGCCGATGCTGACCCAGCAACGTCATCTTCCAGGTCCGCTGGCACGATAACATCTTCGCTATTCGCCATAGGCCGACTCGATTCCGTGATCGATTTGACCTGGATGGCATTGCTTGTGGCAAGTCGCGGCGAGAGCAGCGCTTGGCTCTCATTGGTCGACATGATGGCGAACAGGAACAGCTACGATGGTCAACCCTAAACTCCGCACTGATGAATTCTCGTGGCAGGGTGGCGTGGAGATTCGATCATAGCTCTCAACGCGAAGAGATGGACGAACGCGACTAAGTGTCGCACACAGGGTCGCCAGATCGCAAAATGCTGCGCTTGGAGCTTTTTTCCAGATAGCGCGTTTTGAGACGTCTCTAAACTAGATTGCTGCGCTTGGAGCTTTCTTTCAGAGCGAGATCGACCCGAGCAGCGAGCGACTGCACGCGCTAGTCGCTCAAAATGCGGCGCCACTCTGTAGGACGCCGTGACGGAAGCAGGAGAAGCGCCGGATACGCCAAAAAAAAAAAAAAAAATCAGCATTCGGTATCAGTGCGCTTGTGATCGCTTGTAAATCCGGATACCACAAGCGCCTGTGATAACTAGAAACGCCACGCGACTAGATGGTGGGAGGAGCATGTGAGCATATGTGTGTGCCCGACATTGCAAGAGCCCACTTGAACCTATTCTACGACAGTAGTTCAACTTGCATGGTTTGCCTAGTTGATGCTCGGTTACCACTCGCCTTATTCAACGAAGAAGCACGAAGTTGCAAAAGTACAGCTAGTGGGGTACTACAAACAAATGTTGGTCGAGAAACCAACAAAGGAATACGAACCATGTTTAGGATGGCAACAGCTGACTCACAAGCTCAGGCATCGAATTTGGAGTCGCGTCCCAAATTCGTACCTTGATTAAGGCCGTGCTTGGGCGAAATGAGAACGACGCAGGGCCTGCTTGTTTGGCTGTTCACTTCGCGGAACTAATAGGTGTGCGAGATAAATTTCATGTCGCAAAACACGGGTGGTAACCTACAAATGGCAATCGGCTGTGTATTCTGAAATGGAACGGTTGTGTCGAACTCGATATTCGAGTACTGGGTCGTAATCGGACCTCCCGTATGACTCCTTCCTACTACACCTGATGCCTATTTCAGTCCCCTTCTCCATCCTTCCTGTCAGAATCGTTGACGCCTCAATCGACAAAAGTCTGCTTGCTGCTGTCGATGACGTTCTCCTCGTTCTCACGATTCCAACGATATGCGCAGCAGTTAATTCTGAGAACATTTCACTAAGTTTTCAATCTCACCAGTGCTTGTCTTGCACCTTCAATCAAAGAATTTCCAAGTGTATATTTCAACTGACTGGTACAACTAACTTATACTCATCCCAATGCACCCACGTAACTGAACCCAAAACGTGTTCCACAAGCAACCTCCCTTGTAACCAAACTTACCCCACACTCCAAGTTTCACGTCGCGTCGCACACGCAACCACGACTCCTTCGTCGAACACTCCCGAAGTCCGAATTTCAGAAACTTGTGAACCACGCCATCGTTTCAACCCAAACTCCTACCCCGTCAAACCAATTCCTTACGTTCCCATTTCTTCCTTACGTTTCTACTCCTTTCCCCTCAGCGTAGACCACACGCCAAGTAATCTTAGACGCTTCTTAGTAATTCCTTCTCGCTTCTTCCACACGTCACCGCCATAAGTCGCCGTAGGTCCGCATTTCTCGCCGTCGTTAGTGTGGTTCGTAGAAACCACTCCAACACTTCCCTGTACTCCTCTCTCGAGCGCGCGCTCCCCATGGGGAGAATGGGACTGTATTTGGGTAGCCTAGCGTGTCTTGTCTAGGAAACTCGAAGAACTTATTCGAGGTCAAGAATATCTTAGTTTTGTCGTGGGCTAGTAACGCGCGGGCCGTTGGCTGTGAATGTCGACCACTGGGCGTATGGAGTGGCAGCGAGCGTGTTCAGAGTGGGCGGTTGAGTGAGCATTAGGGTGTACAGCTATGTCTAGCCACCATAATCTGAGTCGTGACGCATACTAGGCGTGCATTGCAAGAGCGCTATCTCCCATCGCAAGAGAAGGCGACTCGAATCGCCTCTACGAACCACTACGACTCGCGGCGGCGCCATTCCCTTTGCGACTCGTACTATACTCCGCGCATCCTGTGCTCTCGTCACTATTTTTTGGTCCGCTCGCTCCGTCGCAACACTTTCGAATTTGCCGCGTCGCGCCATCACGCGCCACGCGCTGCAGATCGACGTACCGCGCCGCCGCTGGGACACTTCGAGCCGCGGAAACGATAGTCTAAGAAACCCTAGTTAGAGGTAAGCCTCCCCATCCATTCCCCAGTCAGACCTTCGCTTTCAAATCTTTGCAAGCCTGAGGCTCACAACTCATGGTCTAGGCGCTTCTAGTCTGTCAGAGGGGGTCGATGCGCAACTGTTGGTTACACACGGAGTTGCTTACGGATTCTGCACACTGCCAAGAGACTAGCAGAGCCCCTTGACGCATTCGTTGCCCTTATTAACATTGCTGCTTTCGCCCTGATTCACGGAGTCACGCTGTCACTCACCCAGGCAATGACCGTCCAAGCATGTGACCCAGCTCAGGCTGAGAACTAGCCTGGACCCTGCGGCCCTTTTTACATCTAAGCTCATTAACCATTATACCATTATGCTCTCACTGACCTGGGCTCTCACTGACCTGGGCTCTCACTGACCTGGGCTCTCACTGACATGGGCTCTCGTTGACCTGGGCTCTCGTTGACCTAGTCTCTGATTGACCTGGGCTCTCATTGACCTGGGCTCTCGTTGACCTGGGCTCTCATTGACCTGGGCTCTCAGTGACCTGGGCTCTCGTTGACCTGGGCTTTCATTGACCTGGGCTCTCGTTGACCTGGGCTCTCATTGACCTGGGCTTTCATTGACCTGGGCTCTCATTGACCTGGGCTTTCATTGACCTGGGCTCTCATTGACCTGTGCTCTCATTGACCTGGGCTCTCATTGACCTAGGCTCTGATCGACCTGGGCTCTCATTGACCAGGGCTCTCGTTGACCTGGGCTCTCATTGACCCGGGCTCGGACTGACCTGGGCTTTATTTTAGGCTCTCATCGTTTCCCTGGTGTGTTTCGTTGCCCTGGTTCAGACACTCACGCTGTCACTACGCAGTGAAGAATTACCACGATTTGAAATGGATCTCTTAGCGCTGCTAACATAGTAGAAACAGCCTAAAGCTAATCGCTAGGCGCCCAAGTTAGAAATAGTCTATGCTTGATCTCAGGGTGCGAAGGTAGAGCGACCCAAAGCTGATGACTAGGTTATCTCTGACCTAACTGCAAGTGACCCCACATTTGTCGAGGCTAACCTATGACTGACCTAATCTGTGTCGGGCTTGCTTGTGCTTGGCCTAGCCTGGGACTAGGCATGAGCAAATAGCAACTTGTTTTAGTAACGAGGCGACGCGAGTTTTACTCTTTACTCGTCCAAAAAGGCGAGTAACCTACCTATTTGTCACGGATAAGAAAATGATCACAGCGAGGCAAGTGATACTCGCCTCGCCAGGAACACCTGATGTTGAGTTCATTATTTTTCATGGAAACATTGATCTGCAACCTCTCCCCCCCCCCCCCCCCACACCCACCCCCCCCCCCCCTCCCCCCCTCATGAAAGTACTTTCATTTTCGCCTATATTCGCCTGTTAGTGTCCTAGCATCTGACTGACCTACCTTGTCATTGTCCTACCTGCGAGTGACCTGGTTTCTGTTTGTTCTTGCTTGTGCTTAACCTTACTGGTGATTGGCCGAGCTTGGGACTGTTGCAGCCTCCGACTGGCCTAATCTGTGAGTGGCCTAGCTTGTAGCTTACCCAGCTTGTCACCAACTTGGCCTCTGAATGACTATCATAGGCCCTGACTAACCTAGCGTGTGGGGGGGCTAGATTCGATGGACCTATCTTGTGAGGGTCTTGCCTCTGACTGACCTTTCGTGTGACTGACCTTTCGTGTGACTGACCTTTCGTGTGACTGACCTTTCGTGTGACTGACCTTTCGTGTGACTGACCTAGCCTTTGACCAACCTAGTTAGCTTAGCTCCCAACTGGCCCAGTTCCTGACGGATCCGAGTTATCCTGTAAGCAGTGGCTAGATTTGATTCACAATCACATATGACGATGGAGATTTGTTAAGGTTCGCTGCTTGTTTGGGATTTGAATCGCTACCAGGACTGAAAATCTCGTCTTGATTTGGCTGGGATACAGCTAGGCTAGGGATTTGAATCGCTACCAGGACTGAAAATCTCGTCTTGATTCGGTCAATGGATTGGGACGGAGGTGGCGATATGAATGTAGAGCATTTCTTCTCTTTTTTTTTTGCGTCAATCCGACAATATGCCAATTTGCACGGCGGGGCGATAAAAGTTGTTCTTTAATCGCCCTGTAGTATTCTTGTATAGTGTAATGCGTAGTTCCGAGTGCATTATGGATTGCCAAAGGCCAGTGGATTTACACAGTATGCTCGCTAGTGACAGACAAAGGCTATGATTCAACCAGCCTACGACCAACCTAGTCAGTGTCTAACCAAGCACGTTTTCCAGCCTCTGATGGACCAGACTTGTGATTCCTTTACAGGTGACCAACTGTGACTGGCCTAGCTTCTGACCACCTACGAGCATGATCATTTTTGCAGCTGTCACGTTGTCTCATCAGTTGCTAATTCTGAGCTTCACCGAAAACAATTCCATTGCGCTCCTTACCACCACCAATAACCCCTTCCACTCACTTATCCCATGCTACTACTCTGGCCTAATACTTTTTGCGATGGCCGAGCCAATTCTGGCTTAATTTATGGCCAGGGTCTGTAAGTTGTCTCTCAAGCCACGTTTGTGAGTCGACTTATGGAATTTGAGCATGTCCAGCAACGTCTCGAGTTTCTTTCGCTACCATTTCTGTTCTCCCAAGCCCTGTTGTTTCAAGTTCCCTCGTTGTGTGCTCGCTCCGGCTTCCCTCACACGCATGCGTGAGCTTAGTTTTCCTCAGTCTTTCGTCTCCAGTAACAAGAAGAGCTGCCAGGGCCACGTT